ATGATTCTGAAATTCAGGTGGGATAGACTCAAAGTCATATTTTGGTTGCCTTGGATTTGGTTTAATTTTCCTCAGCTTTAGCTTGAATTTACATATGAGTAGTTGCTGGTCTTCAAACTTTTGATACATTGTAGAAAAACAGAACTTTTTTTATATTTTTTTTAAAAAACAGAACTTTTAAAGCATTACAGAAACCAGAGAGGCAGAGAAAAAAACAACACAAAAACCACCAACAATCATATTGATGATTATTAGTTTATGTTATTTTACATCCTATGTATATATACATGCAAAGGAGTATACATTTTTATGTGGTTGAGGTCACAAATATGAATTCATACTTTTTTTAGAATCCTTTTTGTAGTAAAACTTTAATGATAGTTTAAAGCAAACTTGGATTTCCTTTCATTCATTGTTACACATTTTCCTCCCTACCCCCTACCCTCAGTTCGCTTTTCTCTTTAAAAAGATTCTTTCATGGTTGCACAAATTCCACCTGTCTGCCCCCACCCCCAGTCCACTTTGCTATGCACCTCTTATTCTGGATTATTGTCATGGAAATAATACCTAACCGTATATTCGTTTCAAACAGTTCTTTCCCTCATCTGTTTCAATGCAGTGTTTGTTATTTAGCCTCTCTTTTCTTAGTTTCCTCCCTAACTCCCATGTCAGTCCTGTTTTATAACAGTGGCATTATGCAACGGTACAACAATGAATGAATGAAAAACCAAAATCTCTATAAATGTTCATTAAAACTAATAAAATTCAATAATAATTAAAAAAAACCAGTGGCATTATTCAGTATTTGTGCATCACAAATATTTATGAAGCCAAAATCCCAAAGTGATGAGTATTTTGACAACCATGACTACGCTATACTGACTCACGCAGGAAGGACAAAAAAGCAGTCAGCCATGCTGGGGGACAAAATTTCGCAAAGACAAAGAATGTGCACACCCCTATATAAAGATATTGACAGTGCTGCAATTCTCTTAATGTGCAATTGAAAAGAAAACAAAGCAATAGAGTATAATGCTTCCAAGACAGTTAACAGCTCACTATTAAATTTTAACAGAGTATTTCTACAGTACAGACATCTCATGTATGCATGAGATGCACACATCTCATGGTTACTATAAAAATGTCAATATGGACACATGTACACACATGTCTCCTCTCAGATGTCTTCCTGCCCCTCTGCAGCCAACAAATCAACCTGGATGGACACTGTTCAGAGGTGGTATAGCAATTCTATGTCCAAGATGTTTTCCTATTAGAGCAAAGATATTTACAAATTGCACTACTACAAATTTCACTGGCATCACTTTATATCATACATTGTCACCTCACGACATCTAAAAAGTTTAGGTGCTACAAAAATGATAAAAATATTATCCACAATAAACAAGGTGGTTGTTGTTGTTATGTGCCGTTGAGTCGCTGGCGACTCATAGTGACCCTATGTACAACAGCCCTAAACTCTGCTCTGTCCTGTGCCAATCACACTGTCTCTGATACACCCATCCCGATTACCCCAGTAACTGAATCAATCCACTTTAAAGAGGACCTTCTCCTCCTGAGCTGTCCCTCCACCTCCCAAGCATGATGTCCCTCTCCAAGGACCGGTCCCTCCTTACAACATGTCCAAAGT